CAGCTGCAAATTTGAAAGCAGAGTCGTATGGCATGAAAGGAAATAAAGATAAAGCTGTCATTGCCGGAATCTTGGCTAAAGTGAAGGTACCTGAATTTGTGCCTAGGAGTGGTGTGAAGATCGAAACAACTGAGGCAGAAGCCGCCCAATCATCATCAGTGATAGATGATGATGTACACATGGATGAAGTGAGAAAAGCTCTAGCATCTCCAAGTGAATTCAAAGGATTTAAAATGATTCCCTTGGATTTTGAAAAGGTAAGTTTCTAAGATGTGTGCCTTGAATATAGTGGAGGTGGAGTTTCTGACAAAAGTCGGCAGCATTGAACTGATTGCAATTCTGCAAGGTTTGGTTGTTAGTGTGCTGTTCTTGTGCATTAAACGGTGTGTCCCTTCACATAGCATTAGTTGTTTGCTGCGATTGCTGAAAACCAACATTTGATCATGTAATCAACTGTTTCTTGGGCATGCCAAGGCAGATTTCATTTTAACTTAGTATTACTGATTTTGCAATTTACTTTTATTACTAACTTTTCCTTTTTGTGAAGTTGTGTGAATTTCTGTACACGTATTAATTCTGTGTTTGGTTTATATTAAGGATGATGACAGTAACTTCCACATGGACTTCATAGTGGCGGCATCTAATTTGAGAGCTGAGAATTATTCCATTGAGAAGGCAGATAGACACAAGGTATGATGTCAATAAATCACCCCTTCATCGTCGGAAATGCTTCATTGTATGTTCTGTCAGTATATTGCATTTTATGTGTTTGTATAACAATTGTTTTATGTGTTAATTACAGAGTAAATTGATAGCTGGAAAGATTATTCCTGCTATAGCTACCACCACCGCCGTCGTATCTGGTCTGGTGTGTCTGGAATTACTTAAAATGGTTATGGGAAATAAAAAATTAGAAACCTACAAAAATGGATTTATCAATCTTGCATTGCCCTTCTTTGGTTTCTCAGAACCATTATCAGCACCCAAAACAAAGGTGAATATTGATTGTTTTTCCTTTTTCATGCCATATTATTTGACTTGCGCTTGATCTCTTTCATGTACCCTCCTCTGCCACCCCTACTAGTCCATCTCATAGTTACTGTGACATAATTGTTGCTAGAATGCAATCACCACATGGATATCTGAGATGTAGAGGAAACTTAACGCTCATGAATATCAAGGAATACAGCAGATGTTGACAGTCCCCCATCTCCTTTATTGCATAGTAATATTTTAAGTTTGTGTGAGTATGGTAGTTTATTTTCTCTTCTTTTTACAGTACTATGACAAAGAATTCACATTATGGGACAGGTTTGAATTACAAGGCATGAGGAATGGACAAGAAATGACACTGAAAGAATTCATGGATTATTTCCAAAATGAACATAAACTTGAAATTACTATGCTATCGCAAGGAGTCAGCATGATCTATTCTTTCTTCATGTCACCGGCTAAAGTCAAGGAACGATTAGCAATGAAGTGAGTAATCCTTCAGAGATTATCTGGCTTTAAAGTTGTATATATCATGTGATGTATTAATGCAACAGTGGCAGTGTTCACAAGATATCCATGTCAAGAGTTTTTGTCAAAGACAATGGCTCTAAAGTATTTACGTAGATTCATTTTTGATTTTTCCGCATCTTAGAATATCAAGTTACCTAAGCTATGCAGAATTTTCTGTTAGATGATTAGAAAGTTTACTATATCGCAAACTAATATTCGATGATGGTCTGCACACAATTACACTTAGAGTTCTTCAGGATGGTAATTTATTAGACATATCACCATTTTGTCTGAGTAAACTTTGAACATTTATTTGCGAGATAACAGTTGTGCTGAGCATGTATCTATAGTAGAATTTAAAGCAGCAGTGCATGACAGGTCAAACCCTGGTGGCAGCCATGTTCATTCCATATTTGGAAAGATGTATAATAATAAATATTAATAAATTTCTTTGTCTGCCATCCAGAGTATCTGAAGTTGTACAGAAAGTTTCCAAGAAGAAAATCAAGCCACACGTGAAAGCTCTTGTGTTGGAACTGTGTTGTAATGACACCGAAGGAGAAGACGTAGAAGTGCCCTACGTTAAATACAACTTGTATTAGTGTATTACATCTGAAGGAAGCATAACCTACTTGTATTTTTCCAGTGATTCCATTGTTACATGGGTCAAAACATGATATCTAGCGATTTATACCTGTCAGATTTCACGGATTAGCGCATTTCAAAAATTCAACCAGTAATTTATCTTTTACCCAGCTTTCAATATGCTACAATGTTGCACAAACTCAGTAATTAGACAAATTTCGCCTCCATTTGGTCTTGTATATTATCTTTATCGCAGTGACATTCTCTGTCCAATCCAATAAAGGATGCAGCATTTCGTGATCGATTTGACCATATATAACATTAAGAATAGTGGCAATTTCCCCTCGGATGCATTGTTTTATATATATACACACACAGTTAATGTGGGAATGTAGGAATTGCATCTGTTTTCATTGTATAACTAAACTAAATAATACTTTGTATTCTTTGCAAATGTCTCAGAGGACATTTCTAGATGTTTATTGTTACATTGTTTTTCGTACTGCTGCTTTAAAGGGGTACCATATGTCATCTATGCAGCACTCTTGTCTGTTATTCGGATTAAATCGTCATGTTGCCAAATATCATGTGTGGGTTTTCTGATTCTACATTGAATCTTGTGTTCGGGCAGAATCGTAATTGGTTATTCCCAACTTTTGCTTTGTGCCATGCAAGTTTATCTTACATTAACCTTTAACTGTCTGCCCCCCTTCTCTATAAATGTATATTTACAGGGAAAATTCTTGCACTTTGATGGTATTTTGCTGAAACAGTGTGTGAATGCACTACACAAGCGTTGTGAATTTGATCTCGTACAATGTTTCCTGATCTGGAAGCAAGGGGTAAATTTTAATTGTCTCAGTGACATTTTTGCTTATGGAAATTGAAGCAACAATAGCTGATTATGAAAAATTTGTTTGCTCAAGTCAAGCCAAACATGCTTGAAAATAAAGGAAAGATCTCCACAAATGTAGAATGCAATTTACAGTTTTTTTTAATATCACTCATCTTGATTCTCCAGCAAGAGATTGTGGGTAAAGTGTGACATGTCCACTGTTGTGAAAAATTAAAATATATTCATCTATAATGCGAGAAATATTTTTCAAATTTTCAGGGTGCATATTATAAGTACACAAAGTTAGGATATTTTCAAAAAACGTGAAAACAATTAATTTTAACACTTTTGTACCCTGTTTGTGGTCAACAGGTTATATCCCCCCATATAAAATACAAGTTTCAACTATTCTTGTATGCATGTTCTAAACTTTAAGCCAATTCGAAGTTGTAGATGAAATCATTTTCTTAATTTCTGACAACAGTGGATATGTCGTACTTTACCCATAATGCTTTGCTGAAGAATCAAGATGGACTACTTAAATTAACGAAAAGTAATGCGAGAAAGCTGTAAATTGCGTGTTCTTACAGCTCTTTCATCAGGGAGCATTATGTTAGACTAGTTTTCCTTTAAGCTGTCAAAAGGCAGGTACCATTATCTTGATAAAACTGGATTCAATAGCTGGCACCCTTGCAAGTTACCGTACTCGCCCGCCCACCACCCCACTTTTGCACAATTTTTGACTCCCGTGTGCGAAGCACAAAAAGGGAGTCTTTGCAGATAGTGTGTCTGTCTGTGTTTGTCTGTTCCACTGATATCTCAAGAACCATACATTGATTTTTGATGAAACTTGGTGCATAGATGCTCTGGGCCAATGCGCAGATTTGATTACTAGGTAGTTTTGGATAAAAATCTGCAATATTAATTACCTAATTTGCATAATGATTAATCAATTTTTGGCTTTTCCACTGATATCTCAAGTACTAATCATCACATTTCAATAAAACTTGGTACATAGATATCATAGGACACTGCACAGACCTGATAGTTTTTAAGGTAATATCAGTACATATTAATTACCTAATTTGCATGATAATTAGCCGATTTTTAGCTGTTCCATGACTGTTCCACTGATATCTAAAGAACTACTCATTGGAGTTTGATGAAACTTGGCACATAGATGCTCTGAACTAATGCGCAGATTTGATTAGTTTTGGATAAAAATCTGTAATATTAATTACCTAATTTGCATAATGATTAATCAATTTTTGGCTTTTCCACTGATCTCCAGTACTAATCATCACATTTCAATAAAACTTGGTACATACAATGTAGATATCATAGGACACTGCACAAACCTGATAGTTTTTAAGGTAATATCAGTACATATTAATTACCTAATTTGCATAATTAATTAATTTTCAGCTTTTGATATTTCAAGTAGTAATG